ATCTCAGCGTTCATACGGACAGACGGACAGACGGACAGACGGACAGACGGACAGACGGACAGACGGACAGACGGACAGACGGACAGACGGACATGGCTAGATCGACTCGGCTAGTGATCCTGATCAAGAATATATATACTTTATGGGGTCGGAAACGCTTCCTTCTGCCTGTTACATACTTTCCGACGAATCTAGTATACCCTTTTACTCTACGAGTAACGGGTATAACAATGAGGGGCAGGACAAAGAAAAATAGCTACGCAATATCCATGTTCACTTTTCATCATGCCGAAGAGAAAATACTTCTCGATAAGAAATAAAAAGGAAATATGATACATATAATAATAATATTAATAATAATTAATAAAATGTATATTTTGAAGTTCAATAACATAAGCTACTATATAATATATAATATATTTATTATTAGATAATAATTATCTCGATAGGATTTCTACCTAAAATTATACAGTTTATTTAACAGAATATCTTCTTAACTCTTATGTTTTTAAAAATCTAGAAGGTTTACCTTTCCGATTATCTTTAAGGACCCCTGAAAGTCTGTTTCACCTCCACCTGTGGTAGTTAGCTTAAATTAAATAATGATATAATCAAAGAGTGCTCGTACGCAAGGTGCAGTCGTACCTCTATTCCACTTAAGAGTGGCAAAACCCACTATATATCACAATGTCAGCGCACTTAACATAGTTTATCCTCGTGTCGCTGTCGCTGTTCGTGTCCCTGTCTCTCTCTTTGCCCCTGTATCTGTCTCTTTCTCGATCTCTACCCCCCTGCTTAAACTTCTCCCACGCTGCCATTATGCACACGTCGCGCATAACCATAACGATTATGTTAATGCTCTGCAGGGTGGTGCAGGGTGGTGCAAGGGGGCGTGAGTGGGTGGTTGGGTGGTGGGTGAGTGGGTGGGGAAAACACCTTGCCTCGGGCTTGTTCTTGCGATGCTTACCTGCTCGTCACTCGCCTTGGCTTATTTCTGCTTTATTTACATGCTCTAAGTAGTTGTAATGGGTTCTCCACAGTCGCGACAAAGTGTTGGCAATAAAGCCAGAGCTCGTCCTTGGTTTAAGCCATAGAGTGGCTATAGAAACCATGAATGACTCCGGCTAGTTTTTCCATTTTCGCATGACACACGGCTCGTGAAGGGATTCTGGCTAACGAGTGTGTGTGTGTGCGGATAATGAGAGGCGAAGTGAATTACACAAGGCATTCAATGGGCGAAAGGATTTTCCTAGGGGTCGTGCCTGAAAATTGTGAATGGCAGAGCCATTTCCATGCGATGGAACGTCATAAAGGGGGCATTGCGAAGCAGAGACCCGAAAAACTCAATTGCGCATGCAACGGCCGCTGGGAAAGCGTAAAACTTTCAATTTGCGTTAATGGCATTAAATAAAGTCACTTGCACGCACCCGCACGACCATTACATATTTCGGAAGCGGGACAGGAAACGGAAACTGAAACCGAAACCAAAACCGAACCCAACCCGTCCCACTCGCATTGGCCAGCCACTTAAAAAAGGTTGCAAAAGCCGCTCAAATGGGCTGTGCAGGTTGCGATGCTTTCTTTTGCTTCGGAAATCGCATTAAAAATCATTGGCGAGCCATTTGCAAGGTGGCCAAAACACGACACGAGCCCGACCAAAAAAATAAATAAATAAGAGCCGACTAACAAACTGAAATGTGGCATGCGTGGCAGCAACAAGAGTTTCGTTTTCGGCTTAAAGCAGCTGAAATCTGGCCAAAAACAACCCAGCCGACGAAGGCAGCCCTCCAATCAGGCAGCAAAACAACACGAAATGTCTGAGCAGAGGTTGGAGAATGTTGTACTTTAGATAAAGTTGCCGCTGCTCCATGTTTGTGCTTGATGTTTTTAGACTTTGTTACAAACATTCGACATGCAATGCACGTAATGCCACAAGAACACATGCACACCTTTAGGCGCACACAGATACTCACTAACAAACACCTGGCAAAAGTTTTTCTTTAGAGACTTTTATCCCACTTTGCTTGTTGTGATATTTTCTTTCTCCAGCTCGTACTCTTGCTGAGAGTGTGATAAGTTTTTCTAAAAACTTTGCCAAGCCCGGAAGAAAAAATACGTAGCCAAGGTATAAATAAATATATTCGTTCTTTGATCATTATTAAACTTTTTAAATGCGTGCCAGTTTCCAAGAGTAAAAGATAGCTGAGAAGTTTTGGTAGGCAGGGAAATTTTATTTTGAATATTCAGTTAAGTCCAGTACTATCCTTGCTCAAAAAAATATATCCAAAAGAATGATTGTCTAATCCATTAATTAATTTTTCACTCAATACATTTTTATTTAAGATTTAAGTTTAAGTAAACAATCAGTCAGTTAGAGTATTGTATGTTTGCATATCCATTCCATGTTGTTTTTTCACTCAGCCTGATTTCTCGGTCTCCATTGTTAAGTTTATAAAAGGGAAAATTCCCTGAGAGGCGGAGGGAGCATCCAACCATTTGCCAGGACAAACCTCAGATATTCCCCCGTCACGCATCCGCCCCGTGGGCCCAGCGTCAAAGAGTGTGGCTCACTTTTCGGGGCAAGGCCGAGCGCAGAACATGATTTGTTCTTTACTTACATACCGTTGAGTAAATCACATGCACAAACACAGACACTTCAGAACCCAGAAACTTGGGCATTTACCGAGCAACAAACAACGAACAACAAACAAGCAACAAACAGCTAACGGCAAACAGCAAACGGCAGGCGAACAAATTCGAATCTCTCCCAGGAAACTTCACTCCACTTCGACCCACTGCAGTAATAATAATAAAGGGAATTGTTATTGTTTTCTATTAATTTACTTTTGTTGCTGCCTGGTATTGTTGTTTGCCACCGTGCCTTAGTTGCCATTGCCACGTGTGCGGGTGTTCTGGGTGTAACATTTTTGTGCCGTTGTCTGCATTTGATTTGATTTGTTTGGTCTTGATTCTATCTGTTGAAAAATTGCTCAACCACGAGATCTGAGTCTGGGGTCTCTGCTGGAAATTGTCTGTCGGGTCGGCACTGAAGTGAGTAAATTGATATAAATAGATTTGAATGTGGAAGTGGAATGTTGTTTGCAACTGAAATGCGCAGGGAATGGTATCTAGGTATACCAAAACCCTTAAATGTTATGTAACCAATACCAGATATACGATAGTCTTGTGGCATGGCATTTACAATGGAACTGATAGGCCGCATTATTTTTTTAAAATCCCAGAAATAGGAAATAACTAAAATGTAATGTTCGGTCTATGGGGAAAAACAAACTTCATTGCCAAAGTGCAGTTGCAAACGAGAGGAATACTTGGCATAAATTCGTTTTGCATAGTCCGGACCTATTCCAAAAGCAGTAAAAGCAAAATACTCAAGAACGGTCCTGCAATTGCAAAGTATTTCTCATAAAATAACGCGCTTACATAAATATTTAAACTAAAGCAGAGGCATGAAAAGCATTTCTCTATCTGCACTTAGGACTGGCTAGAAATAGGAAATAAAAGCCCTATGCCAGCTGGCGGCGTTGTATTTTCCCGGCAAGAGGACGTGGACCTGGAGGAGGGCAACGTCTTCGAATTCCCGCCTCCTTGCCATCGATCCTTGGGCGGCACACTGACTAACTGAGTGAGTGATGAACAAGTCCTGTGTGTGCGTGGCTGCGAATGCGATTGCAAGGATCTGGGCCAAGCCAGCTGTCCTTGGGCCAGAAAAGCGCTTTTCAATAGAAAACTCAAACTGGCAACATGGTACAGATTGCTTACTAAGACTCCAGCTTTGGCCCACTCTCAACAAAACTGCATCGCCTGAATGGCTGGAATGAGCTCGCAATGAGGCCAAAAATCTCATAAACTAGAAGTCAAATGTTTAATGCTCTCTTGGGAAGATGAAATATTTATCTCAGTTTATTTCCTCAATTTTTCGGCAATTATAACGAAAGATAAAAATATGAAATATAAAATAACATTAAACAGATATTTTTAATTGTGCTATAAATCAAATTGGATTAACGTTATCTAACCTTGTGCCAAAATATCAAAACATAAATTTGACAAAATATAAATCATAATTAAAATTATACATATAATCTACGGCGATTATACAATGATTAGTTCTGTACAACAGTCCAACATAATTAAATCAATAATCAGGTGAGCCATAGAAATAGATTAGCGTTTAATGGTGATGGGTTTCTTATTTGCGTCAATATAAGTTTTACACGACTTCAGCGCAAAGCGATTTCTGCGGCACCCTGAATATCAATATTATAGTAAAGTTTGAGTTCATTTTGTCAAAATCTACCCCTTTAGAAATTCACTTTATAAGAATGCCTTCCTCCCCCTTTTGGCTAAAATAATTTTCGTACATCTGTTTTCAAATCAAGGAAATTCCTCTCCGCCAAGTTCCCATTGAAAGCATTGTAGGGCTGCCTGTCAATCGGCATTTGTTGTTCGCCGAGTTGGCTTCAATTTGTTGCACGCACTTTCGACGCCTTTCGGTTGCAAGTTGCTTTTGTTTTCGTAGCAGAGTGGCAGGCGGGGGCGGAAAGGGGCGTGGCCGCCTCCGCAGGACAGGACACAACTGATATAAGCCAAGTGTCTATCTCGCATCTTGTTGCTGTCATTTCAGGCTAATGTCTTCGCTCCATTTTCCCTTTTCGTGTTCAATGTCTATCGTCATTCCCATTTGGTTTCCGCTCGTCCTTGTCCTTTTTTCCCTTTTTTCCAACCAGACATTGCACTGACTTGTTGTTCTGTTGCTGCTTCTGTTTTCTGCTGACACAGTTGGTAGTTTTTCCCTTTCGTCCTTGATACACATCATTCAAGCCTGCTTAACGTGTCCCATCATATTAACTTGGCCAAGATGCCACGGCCGGAATTTATGCTGAAAGCAAAAACTGACTGTCAGTTCGGGTGGATTAAAGGAGACGTTTCTTTGAATTAATTATTTTACTAAGAAGAACTTTCTTGTTTTCTACTTGCAGATTGCCCAACTATTTCGAAAGCTCTTAAAAGGTATGTAAATGAGTGTACATTTTTATGCACGAGTTAGGATATCCTTTAAGGATCATTAAAGTATGAACAAGATATTTTGTGAATTTTACAAGGTATATACAATAAATAGAATTGAAGTTACAAATCGAATAAGAAAATCCATGTACCATGTAAGCTGAGCGGAAAGTGCCTCGCTGATTTTCAGCTTAGCAAAGTGAGCAGCACATTTTCCTGGAATTGGCCAAATGTCTGGCAGCGGGCTCAAACACCTGACTCCTTTGAAAGCAGCTGTGAGGGGACTTGAAAAGAGCTCACTGGTGGGGCTTGGCACCCGGCAAAGTTAAGCAGCTTATGGCCCAAACTGATCAATAATAAACGAATTTAGTTGGGAGCTACGGCTCATTATGGTTGTCTGGGTCTGGGGGATTTTCACTCGGAAATTTATAATCCACAAGGCAAACTGCAATTAAAGCGACTTAATTGTTTATTAATGCGCACTTCCCAGCCACGGCGTGAAAAAATAAATTAATTAGTTGCTATTTTAAATATGGCGCAGACAATTTAAAATGCCACGCCAGTAAAAATAAAACTCCCGGTGCCACGAAGGGGCGACTCCTTTGATTTATGCTCCCTGCACTTGTTCGAGGGCTGCATCTGAATGTGAATCGGAATCCGGGAATGGAAATGGGAATAAAAATGGGGGAGCCAATTTAATTGCTCGCTGGATTTTCACACTAAGTCCATGTTTCCTGCAAACAGCACCGAAATAGCCCCTTGAGATGGGGAATATCACGAACAAGAACCCAAGAAATGGGGGATATGTTGGGGATGTCGTGTGATGATTAATGAGACAATTTTTATGACATCGCACAGTGGGCGAGCGCATGTAGTAGTCTGCAGACATAAATATCCGAAATGTGGGAGCATGAAGTGGAAATGGGCAGATATTAAATTGATTACTTAACTACTGGTCCACAATAATGGGAGGGCTCTTTGAAAAATTCAAGCTATTTCTTCAGTCTTTCAAGAAAATGAAAATTTAAAGTTTAGTAAAAGACGATGTCAAATTTTTATTACAAATCTATTTTAAGTTCCTTTATCGCCCATATAAAAAAATATTTTTTATATCACCCTCTGTGTTTGTCTTTTTTCTGTCAGCTTGAAGCATTGGACAGCTTATTTTATTAATTTATGAAGTATTTTGGTAATTTAAAACAGTTTTAATTTAATAAGTTGAAACTTTCTTAGGATTTATTCATGCTTTTTAGGACTGAATATAAGAGCTGGGTATTTCCAGCTTAGCTAGTGTAGATGTCAAAAATTTTAAAGAACTCTTAAGTTTTTAATCCCCTGCCCAACTGCAGTTCCCGAAACGGGCTAAACCGTCTAGTCAGAAAAGTAATCAATTCGGCTGTCACACAAATGCCAATCCCCGACCACTGTGCATTTGGTAGATCCAAAGGGCACGAAGACTTGTCGCTGGCACATGAATAACATGAATTGCGTTATGAAAAATGTACAACAGCAGTTCGAGGAGATGGATGGATAGCTCGGGACGGTCTGAGCAGGAACATTGGGGGACTTTCGGGGTCTTTCGGGTCTTTCGGGGTCTTCCGGGGACTTTGGGATCTCTCTGGGTCTGCTGCCATCATTACAGAGCTGAGCGATAAGCGACGTTGCATGCGGCGACACAACCGACGATTGCAGTTTGATGGATATGTACGCACTCACATATGTACTGGATGTGCGTGTGCCACCGACAGACATGGATGCGAATTGATGTGTCACGTGGGTGCAGTGCCGTTGACTTTGAGGGATTTATATGGAGAGCGCTGACAGCTGGCAAAAATTAGCTGCCAGTCGGCACTCAGGACTCCGGGCTACAAACTCCTTGCATCGGGAATGGGCAACTCCTGGCGGCATAATTAGCACAAACTCAAAACTTTTCGACTCCGACAGCGAGTGCTTACCATTATTATAGCTCCGGTTGTTAGCCCGGCCAGGCTGCATACATAAACGACCAGCAACTCAAATTTCGAGACCGAAATCCCAAAATGTCAGTGGCCGGCAGCAGCAGACAGTGGAGGGCTGTCAAGGGACAGGACGTCAGACAGGAGCAGCTGCTGCCTGCCAGCTGCCAGTTTGCCAGCTTCCCAGTTTGGCCGGGTTTGCCTGCTTGCCGGCTTGCCAGCTTTCCAGTTAGTAACAATGCAACAGAGCACTCAGCAAAACTGCAGCAGCTCTCAACGCTCTCATTATTCAAATGTGCTTTTCGATTTGGCCAAAAGTTCTGTTAGCCAGCGTCTGTGTAAAAAGGATCACTCAAAACAAAAAAGGATACGACTTGTGAAAGCTGGGAAAAATAAGCTTGCAAAATATTTTTAGGAAGCATCCGAGAATCCGCAATATTCACACATCTATTTAAATCTTCACATATCAAATACTATATTTTTATTTCCTTGTATTATAGTTTGGTCAATTCAATTCATCCCGCTCGTTGGCAGCAATCTTTACAGCGTGGCCAGGGCGGACAGTGAGGTCTGGGCTGTGAAAAAACTGGGGCAATGCAGAATGCGATCGCAATGATCAGAGACAAGAGTGCAAGCGACTGATCATTTTGAACTCTGAGAAAAATTCATGGCAAACCCAGATGGAACATGCTGGAATGAACACGTAACTGTTTCTAATGCGAGTAATTGTAGCTCAGTGGGGGATATTAGTTTTGAAGTTTCTTTTTCAATTAAAACTTAAAAGTACAGTACACAGAGAAAATTCTGACGTTATCGTCTGAGTTGAAAATGTTCTTAAAAATAGAACGACATTTTTAAGTTGAAAATGTTTTTATTTTGCTCGAATCAAGTTGAATTGGCGGTTTTTAAGTATATTGTATGTACAAATATATTATTAGTTCAGTCCTTAGTGTATACTTATCAAAAAGTTGTTAAATAAACTCAATTTAACTTTTCTCTACTCATCATTTCGTTCTTATATTGATACCAAAATGTTATTAAAGGGTTTAAAGAACGAATATTCTCAATTCAAGAACAATGTTCTAAATTCAAGAACAATTTTCTCAATTCAAGAACAATGTTCTTTGATAGTTTTCTCTGTGTACATATATTTAAGTTTATAAAGTGTGTAAATATCAGAAAAACTTAAAGTCTATAATATAAATAAAAGAACACGTTTGAAAAAATTTGTTGTATAATGTATGGATTATTTTAACCATTATAGTCTTAACCAAGTTTATGAAACCAACGCATTGGTGTAAACGAAAATCATACATACATCTTTTTAGTTGGTGAAGCTTTTACTAAAATATTCCAAAATATACGTACCCATTTTAGGTTATTTTCCAGCTGCACCTCCACGACCACACGGGTTATCTCCTCACTTGTCATGCATTTTCCAGCCAGCTCTCACAAAATCCCCATTTTCCGACCCTCCCCCTCCCCAGTCCTCCCCAGCTACCTGTTCTATTGCCGTAACAAATCCATTTTACCTGTCAGCTTTAACGCGTAAGCAAATGGCAAAGCGGCAGCAGCTGGCTAAGAAAGAGCACAAAAAGCGCAAAAAACCCAAAGTGGAGCGCCATCTACATAGAGGAATGTATGAGTGTGGGTGGTGGCAGGTGAGAATGGGAGTGTGTGTGTGGGGGCGTGGCACTCGGGGAGGCGCCTCTGATATATTGCCGAGGCGCAATTAGAGCACAGACCGCAGAATGAAACGAAACGCTGGCTGCCGTGTAAACAAGCCACAATTGCGCTGGCGACGAGGAAGAAAATGGAAACAATTAAGCCCGGGAAAATCGCACACTAAATGCACTAACTAAAACAAAATATTGTTTTTCGCTGTTGGAAAAGCATTTTCACTTTCGAACGAACTCGAATTCGTTTTGGTTGCCTTTGGGTGATTTACTTGATTTTAACTCAAATCGATTGGAGCTTGTGAATTCCAATTCAAAGGCCCTTACCTACAGTCCCTGTTTTGAATCTTATAGTTGAAAAGTGTTTGAAACTTAATCCATTTAAATATACTTCATATAACAATTTGCAAACACCAAATAAAGTTTATATTTTGTTCTTGGTTTCTCATATCGTTAAAACACAGTCACTGAAATAACTAAAACTGGCCTTATTAATATTTGAGCGCTCTCTCTCTGAATTTTTTTTATGGTATCTTCCGCTTAATCCCTGTATTAACTTCAGCCAGAAAGATTACGAAATGAAAATCTCCATAAAAAATCGGTTCTTAAAATTGACTTTGCACAAGATTTTTCTTCATTTTGCAAATGCCTCTGGGGACCTTAAGTATAAATCATATTAAAAGAAATCATTCTGTGCATAAAATGTATAATTTTGTATTTAAGAAAAATGATTTAGCGATGGAATAACATTTCTGTGATTTATCCAAATCCGTTGAAAATCCCCCATACTCTTTGCGCCGGAAGAAGAACGGAAATAAATTTTTGCGCAAACAAAATCAAGCACATCTACCGACATTCCCATTTAGACAATCAGACTTTTGTGCTCATGTCCTCCCGTGTGTTTACTCGAAGCACACACAGCTGAAAATTACGAAAACGAATCTCGAGTAAGTCACAAATGGAATCGCATTAAATCAATTCAAACGAAACGGAATCAAATGAAACAATTCTGGGCAGATGGGTCCCTGGGTTGGGGTGGCTGGGAAATTCCCTATCGAATGCCGTGTAAATCTCAGATGACATCCGAGCATATTGTCGACTAATTAAACGCATGTGCACGCCTGGTACATCCACATTCAAGCGCTAATTAGTCTCGGGGCACTGACAATGTGACACGGCGCAGATCAAACGGCTGACTTTGGTGCCGCCGCACAGGTCCTGAGTTACTTTGGCTCCTCTTTTTTATTTGGTCCACCGTCCCCGTCCCAGGGCGGCATTTTTTATGCCGTGTTTTCCCCTCAGCATTCAGGTCGAGCGAAATTAAACGAAAACACACCATTCGCGAAAGATCAAAGCGGATGCGACATGTCTTTGGGGATCCCGAAATTTTCCAAGCGGTCCGTGCTGCGAAATTTAAATTAGTTGCCCCGTTTAACGGAGGGCACTTCTGGAAACTGGATGCCAATAATAGCAAATTTAAGGTTGTACATTACTTTATTGTCGCCTTTCTTGTAGACAATGTATTCGATTACACGAAAGTATAATAATATTTCCTCACACAATTTGATCATATAATCTAAAAATTTTAACTTATGAATACCATTTTCCATATGCTCAATAGAAAATTATCTAATTATTACAATTCGATGATAACTTCTGGGGTATATTAATATAGAACTTAAACAAGGACAACATTTATTAGGCTTAAAAAAAATAAAATATAAAAACATTTCAAAAAATAAACTAAGCGCATTATTTCAGTCTTCCAAACACTTCAACGCTGCGAATGAAAAATAGATTTAGGTTCCAAGAAACTGAGATGATGAATATTTACCGGTATATGCAGGTAGAATTCGCACCATGGTTCGAGTTAAATGCAAAAACCAGATTTCGAAATAAGAAGTCATTGTGCACAGTGTAGCTTTGAGTGCGTCTGTTGGCCGCGTTATCGAAGGTCCACTGTCCCAACAACTGCCGCTTGGAATTGTTTAACGGGAGACCCTGGCAAAAGGAGCTGTTATTTAAGGGTCGGAATACGGAATCAATCGCTACTCACATACACATCGAAATCTTTGGGGGCACTCTTCACGCACAAACTGGGCGTCATTTCGCGGGCCACATGGGTAAGGGTTAGGGCCTCCACGACGATGGTCTTGGCCAGATGAAGGGTCACGATTGCCCGACTTCCATTGAATCCGAAGCAGGCTCCCGGGGAAAGTCCCGGTCGCAGTATATTCACGGGCGGATTGGCGCTGAAATCCAGTCCCAGCAGTGTTTTTATAATATTGGTACCACCCATGGGCTGGGCCTTCACGTCGATGATCCTGGCGCCCAGATCCTCGGAGGCGTAGTTAATGCGGGGTTTCGCCAGCGAAACGGGTTCCTTTGGGGGACTGAACTGAGCTGTCCGAGCTGAGCAGTCGGCATTCATCAACTGTTTCTTCAGGTTATATACGTCGTCCATTAAATGTCCGATCTTGCGTTTGAACAAAGTGTCCACATAGGCACTTATGTCCCGGTTATCACACCTCCCAGATCCCAAACCCTTTGGCTCTCCTCCCAGGCAGTTGAACTTGCCCGAGATCTGGCCTCCCCTGCTGTCCATCTGCTGCTGGCGGAGCATGTGCTGGGGGAATGTTACCAGGTTAGTGGGTTCTTTTCATAGAGGTTAATCCATAATATCACCGATATATCGTCCACATCCTCCCGAAGGCGCATTATACCCATATTATTCCTGCTGTTGTGCGCCATTAGGTAGTAGAAAAACGCCGAGAGGAGGAAAAATGAAAGCAAATAGGTGAGGCAGACTCGCTTGCCAGCGCGACGACAATGGTCCATATTAGATGAGAAATATATAGCTCAGCCCAAATTGATTTCAGGGAAAATTGTGCAATAGACTACTTAGATGTGAGTTAAATTAAATCTCTGCCTTACTCTCAGCCAATTCATTGCTGAACACTGCACCACACAAAAAGGAGTGTTCGATAATGGGGCCAAAGGAATTCAATGAATCAGATTTAATTCCCCAATAAAATCGCTGGAAAATGAACAATTGTTGAGAATAATGAGGCGAAATCGCATTAGGTGCGGCAGCATCTGCGAAAGTCTCTAATTGTCAATGGCTAAATAATTGAGAGCCGAGAGCAAAAGAAGCAGCGAACGCGGGAAGGGCCAACGGAACGTAATAGCATTAAGGAAAAATCCAAATGAAAATCACTTTAAATGCTAAACAGCTGGTTGCCGGCCGAGGCGAAATAAAAACACACAAAGCGCCTTCGGCCCTTTAAGCGTCCATTAAAAATTTAATAACTCTGGCCCGGGCCAAATGCAATTTTGTGAAAATTTCTAGCAAAATTAATTAGTCAAACAATCCATCAGGACGGAGCCTGGCCAGCACGGAACGGACCGAACTGGACCAGCACATTGTGCCGGCCCCAAAGTCCACAAAAAGGTACGAAATCCCGCAGAGAAGGCAGCGTGAACGTGACCATCCCCGGTTCGAGATGGGGGTTTTTCATCCCAGCAGTCCGTTTGGCCCAGCTCACGTGCGTTGCCTAAGCTGGCAAAATATTGACCCGAAGACCGGACGAGATATTTGGGTTACGGACGGGCGCAGACGTTCGAGGCAGAGTCCCAACACTTCAAAGGCCGTAGCGAATGTAATTTTAATCAAAAATTGCTCAAGCCCGAGAAATCCCAATACAGGAATTCGGATGTGGTCGCTAATCCTTCCTGAAGGCAAGCGCTGTACGCATTTCATTTCCATATATTTATGGCCACTTCGAGCTCAAAATGAATCGCTAAAGGAAGCTCTTAATATTTCGATAACTTGACAGACTTTGAGGAGCGTGTCCACTTCGTGCTGGACCATTTTCCTGTTTAATCGACTTTTGTGCTGCGCAATCACGACCCGAAACATTGGCAGGGAGCTGGAGACACGTCCTCGTCAGCAGACAGTAGACAGGGGACAATTAATTTTTAATGCAACTGCTCGACAGATCAGCAGCAGAGCCGGACACAAACAAAAACGGCATCGTTGAGAGCAAGTGGCTCTGCTAATTGCACTCATTCACACGGCGAGCGACAACAAAGGCGGTCTGAAGGGGCATCCTCGGCGGCAGCGAGTGCAGGGGATTGCAAGTTGCAACAACATCGGTGGCAAGTCGGCGGAGGCGGAGGAAGACTCGTCTCCTTGGCGCACGGAAACGGAAGCGCTAGTTGCAAGGATATGTTGCAGGGGAGCACAATAGTTGGGGTTACCGTGGGACGAGGCTGTAGATTTAGTTCCTGAAAATATAGGGTGCTAATTTTACATTTTAAATAACTACAATATTATTATGTTAATTTTTTTTGTGGGTGCTTTTAAAGCTAACTTGGGATTCAATAAATTTATTTAGTTTTAAGAAAGAAAAAAATTTCACGTAATCGACTTTATTTGTTAGTGTTAAAAATATCAGACGGGTTCGACCCATATCATTTTACTAAAAAGTTGATAAGGAATTTCGTTCAGAACCCTAAAATAGTCTTTCCTAGTTATCATATCTTTTAAATTTTTAGACCCTGCATTAAAATTCTTTACTTATATATACACCCCTGTTCTGATTTTTACTTTCGAGGAATCTTATTATGAGTTGGAATCCATATTAAACGCAATTTGGAAAGCTCTTAGTTAATGAAAAACAAGATCATTTAATAAATACTTTCATCTATAAATAATAAAGTATTTTCAAGCCGACTAAATATTTACATTTGGAAATTTTTACCCAGTTGTTAAAATTGTCCAGAGGCATCGGTAAGGTCCAATAACATCAATTGGTCCCACTGTGCGTGCTGCGATTGTGTGCACTGCAATTACGTGCCATTGAGGCAGCCCATTGTTAGTGAGCACTGCAGATAGCAAATAGTCGCATCCCAAAAGAGGAGTCCCTTCAGAGTCCGGCGTTTACAGATCCCCCGTCTCCATCCCGTAGTCGCAGTCCACTGTCATTGCCTATTTCCGGCGTAATTGTTATGCCAATTTTTAAGGACCAGCCAGTGTGTGGAATTAAATGAAAATCAAATAAAGCCGGGAAGAGCGAAAAGATCGCATAAATGCGGTTAAATTTGCAGCGTTAAATGTTAACAGTCGATTTTCCGATGCACACAGTCGTCCCATAAAAATATCAACGCGTATTTGCGTGCTCCTTTCTTATCTACTTGTGGCCCAAAACCCTTCCTCCGATAAGCCCCCTCTGCCTTTTGGCCCATCAGCCCCTGACATTCCTCGTCATCATCATTCCGGCTTAGACTTTGGGGGAGTGCAAATTGACAATTTCTGTGAAATTGCACAAATACGAGCCTGTGCTCCAATTTTTTATGGCAAATTACCCAGCCGCATGTGTGGATGGCTGGGGGCGTTGGGGCGTGGCTTTTGCAGGCAGGAAAATGTCATAAAACCGTTTGGTAGACGCCGGCGCTACGGTTGGGTTTTTATGATTGGTTTTTAGGCGGCTTTCCCTCCTGAAAGAGGCCAAGGAAAGGGAAAAATAAATAAAATATAAACTGCGTTATGTTTATGCGCCAAAAAAGCGAAAGAGGGACCCAGAAAAGCTATCAGGACGTCATCAGCCAGCGTATAATTAAACATTACGCGAGGGCAATAAAAAGATGAGACAAAAAAGGAGGATTTTGCAGCATTTGAATGGTCCCGAAAGGGGGAATAAAACACCGAGCATATGTATTTACGATAAAAGAATGAGTGCTGATTACGGTTGGTTAAAAAACCTGCCTTTTTTTAAGGACGCCCAGCTAAAGCTGAGCTAACATTACACTTCAATTATTATAAATAAGTATTGAATTCTTAATTTTTACCCGAAGCTTCCGTTGGCAACTTGTACTGTCGATATTTCTTGAAGCGAAAACAAATATTATGAAAAACAAATTTGTTCCTTGGTTTTCCCTTTGGCAGCTGTTGTTTTCGAGGAAAGTTTTTCTTATATTAAAAAGCAATTAAGCTGCATATAAGAGTACAAAAAGTTAATAAACAGACAAACTGCATAAATTTCCCCATTTTATTAAGCTTTGTTCTCAGTATTTTTGGCAATAATTTACGCAAAATAAGAGATGTCCCCTCCGGTATTTGTTTTCGATGGCAAAAATGCCGCACAATATTTGCGAAACTTTAAAGCAATTAAAAAGTTTGTGCACTGCCATGATTTCCATTTCCCCTCGCAGCCGCACCTTATAGTAAGTCCAAAGGTCCGAAAGGAACTTTCCGGCAGCAGCTGCTGGCCAAGAAAACGGCAACATTAGGGCACACACATACCCCTAGTAGGAACATAATAATGATAAACATAATATGCCGCTGAGTGCCTGGAAGTATGCTTAATTCTGGGCAACTTTAGTGCCTTTAAGTTGTAGGCGGGACGCAAGAAACGGGGAATCCCCTTAAGTGCGCGCTGGACGCCGGGAAAAGCGGTGGGAAAAGTTGCTCCTCATCTGCCTTTCCAGCCCGTTGGAACCGGGATCCTTTCTCTAAGTGCACATGCCACAAACAACACAGGCAGCTAGGCAAATGTACATCGAAATGCGAAATGGCAGCAGGACGAAAGTGCTCAAAGGAATGCCGGCTGAGGCGTTTATTTGCGTTTATAATGTGTGAGCTATTAAAATTTTAGAGGCTGTTAGTGGGTCTCTGTTCGTGCGTCTGGCGCACTTGAATTAAAATTGTTTCTGCTGCAGCATAAAATGAAAATTAGTTGATTTTTTATACGTCTTCGTGCGGAAGGAGCGCAGCTCTTAAAGCTCTTAGGGCAGCAGCAGCTGCGGCTCGGCTGCCACAAAAAAGTCTTTTAAGTGAAAATTCTCACAGCGCTTGTTTGGATTACATTCATATTCATATTTGTATTTTCGCTTGTGTTTGTGTTGGCAAGCGCAAAGTGGAAATTAACATAAAACAGCGGCAACACGGGGCGAATACTTAATGTCAAGCCGAAGCAGGGATGCCCTCGCAAAAAATGCAGGAATTAATTGCACACAGCGAGACCAAACATTTCTAAGATCTCTGTGGGACATAAAATATTTAATTTATGCAGCAGATTCACAGACCCCGCCCATGGACATTTTATCTCCCCGCATCGCACTCCCCTTTGAGGCCCGCAGATCTTAACGAACCCAAAAGTCCTGGCTCTTTTATTTACTTTTATATAAATATTTTTTGCCGTAAGCTATGGCATTTTTTGCACCTCTCGGATTCAGCTGCAGCTTATTTTTGATGCATATTTTATTTTGCCATTGCATGCGTAATTTTATTTGCCGCCACGCCCCCTCCGCCCATCCCTCCACGGTGTTGTTGCTGCGGCTAGTTGCGGGCTCGTAATTCGCAGCGAGTATAAGTTTTATGACCATTGCTGCGATTTTTGTTGCTGATGTGGCAAGTGCTGCATGAACACGTAGCTTTTTCCTAGCCAGATGCAGGTTAGATTGTTCAATTTCAATCTAATAAGTAATTCGTAAGTAGTCCTACTTCAGAAACAACTAGTTACATTACAAATAAACATTTAAATAAAATAAAAAATAGATCATAAAAAAGGTATGGATAATATTTTTCAGTAAATATTCTCTTAAAATCCTATTGAAAGTAAAGTTAAACATATTACGCCCACTTTATTACTTAGTTTATAAACGAACACAGCTTTTATAAATATGACTTAGAGTAGGCAGTGAGAAAAGATTCATTTTTTTCAAAAACCCTGTAAAAATATATTGTTGCATACACACGTTTTTAGGATTTCCTCAGCCCTTGAATTTCTGTGATATTTCGATATGTTTTAAATATTTTAGGTGTTTATCGTAAATTAATATATTACGCTTTCTAAATTACTTACTTTACAAACCAAACTTACATTGGAAGTACTCACAGACTGGAAGCACTTATAAGTGTATCTATAAGTAGGTAAAAATATATTGGTGCATTCTTTTCAGACACGTTTGTAGGATCTCCTCAGCCCTTTAATTTCTGTGATATTTTCGATATGTTTTAAATATTTTAGCTGTTTATCGTAAATTAATATAATACGCTTTCTAAATTACTTACCTTACAAACCTAAAAAATGTTTACATTGGAAGTATTCACTGGCTGGAAGCCCTTATATATGTGTCTAAAAGTAGGCAGCGTACAAAAAATGATATCCTTCTCACACCCACGCTTAAAGTATATTGTAGCATGCTGTTAGACACTTTTATACGATTTTCTAAACCCCTGTGAATTCTCTGGCATCCTCCGTATATCTGGAGTATTCTAGCTGTTTTTCGTAAGCTGCCATCACAGGTTGCTGCTGCTTGGGTCCTTTGGCAGGTTGTAAAAAATGTATGCATTTTACAACAAAATGCTGCTTGTTGTCGCCACTGTGGCTGCACCTGGGCGGATTGTTGTCGTCGTCTCGCTGCCAGAATATGCACGGCAATGTGCCAAATTAAGTGCTCTGCCTGCCAAAAAGGAGCAGCGAAAAACACGAAAAAAAAGATCTCGACGGGACGAGGTCCTGTGCCAGGACGTCGCTTAAGCTGCGATGTAAATTTTAATTTCCACATGTTATGACATGTTCGCAGCGCCCCTTTGAAGTTTTCCCACGACTGCATGACTAATTCCGAGTGGGGCTTTAAGAGGCCCAAAGAATTTATGGGAGCGAAGGCCTCTGTTAAATTGGTGTTGTTAAATTTGGTAATGCAATTTGTTGGCCTTCGAAGAGATAGCCCGGAGTTGTTTGGTGGTTGACTGGCTTCGTCTTGCCAACGGCAACCAGCAAACGCTTGGCAAATTGCCATTTTAACGCAGCTGTTGATAAGTTTTTAATTAGGTTTAGGCTTATTAGTTGGCCTAGGCCATAGAATGGTGTGGTTTTGGAAACATTTTCGGTCTTAAGCTTTTATTCTGGGAGGGGGACCTTAAATTAAACTTAATAATTTTGCTTGTTTGAAGTTTAAAAGGTTTTTCCTATATTTTAAGCTATGAAATTCCTCAAACCGTTTAAAGTAATACGTAAAATGTATCTGAAATGAAGATGTGCTTTAATTTGAAGCCCATTTATAAATAAACCATTTCTAAGAAAGAGCTTTGCTACCGACGGCAGCCTACCTCAAGCCTACCTGATTGCCCAATAAATTTGATGATGGTATAAATTCCAGCTCTCAATTTACACATTTAATTATCACGCATACGTCATGTTGTACAGGCGTAAACAAAAATATCTTGTAAGCCCAGACAAAGTGGTTTTTCGCACTCAAATTATCCGCATCGATAGCCCGTATTATCAGAGTCATCAATATTTCAAAGGGATTTCACAGCCAGCCGATAGCGCAATCACTTTCTTATGAAATTTTCATTTGCTCGTGAGTGAAAGGTCAATTTGGTGTAAATGCCTATTGATTTTTCGATCGAGCCAACGGAATGAAATTGAAATTATTCCCAGTGACAGCAGTTTAGAGGACGTGTCAATGTCTGGGCCTGCGAAAACATGGGACATGTGAAAAATAAAATAAATATTTATCTAGCCCGAATAATTCCAGAAATTCCAGAAGTAGCCGTAGCAGGCAGGAGTTGAACAAATCTCTCAAATTGCCCGAGGCTGCTGCGCTCATGTCGTCTTATTAAATCACACAGAATAGAAAAAGTTTCGGGCCAGGACGGATGTGGGCTGTTGGATGTGGGATGTTGGGGATGTTTTGGATGTTCCACACACTGGCAGAGGTTCAACTGCCTCTTGGTCTCGACTGTCAAATCATTCTGTGATAAGGATATAACAAATGTGCACACTCCACTCACACAGATGCGAGCCAGGATTTTCTATCTCGTGTCTGTGTCTGCTTCATAACTGACAAATGAAAATGTCAAAAAATGTTTGCTGACAAGCCAACCAAATGAGAAAGAACATTTTCCATTTATCTCTGGGCCCAAGCTGCCGAGAGAGACATTTCCGAAATTTAATTAAAATTTCGATTCGGCTTAAACTAACCGAGAACAGCAGGAAAGAACTATTAAATTGTTCAATTAGGCAAAAACCAATAACAATATTTACAGATGGCTAAGGAAAATTCTAAATAATTGATATTGGAAAATGGACACTTATTTTTCTGACCTTGCAGTGTGTTGTGGGGCATCTCCCCTGTGTTGTATCACTACCAAAACATTTCTCTAATTAACAGACCGCCATTGTGTAAGTCAGGGCCCAAAGTATCCTCACCTGCCCGGGGTATCATTACATTCACGACTTCAATTTCAGGCTAAGCACCATGCATTTGAGTGAAAGCCGAAAGCAGCTGCGGCAACAGCATTAGGCCATAGAAAGTCGGTGGCCATGATTAATGTTCGGTTATTAATAATGTCCTGCTGTCGGTCGAGGAACGGACTTCAGGTGCCTGCCAAATCAAGTCAATTTGCTGGAATCCGAGTATCCATTACGCATTTGCATTGGCGCCAGACTGAAATTCAAGTCAGTCCGTAGTATTCGGCGTGGGAGAATAGAAGCTAATGAAGCGCCGGAATCTTTTCGGGACCGCCTTTGTTCGACCAGCTCATCTAGGGTTTCCCAGAATCAGACTCACATCAGAACCAGAACCTGGGGGAAATCTGGGGCTTTGTTTCATGTTGTTTTCCACGTAGACGCAATTCCTCGGTGCGCACAATAAACCTGCATTTAAGTTAATTTTCCTGTAATTTATCTGTTATTTAACTAAGGCAGCCATCGTGCAATATGTTGCATGATTTATGCCTGACATTTTCAATTGTTTATTGCTCTCGTATCCTGCTCTACTTCGGTCCGCCTTTGTTTTTCACTTAGATTAATTTTGACAAATATAAATGTCAGTCTGCCCAGGGGCCTTTAATGAACTGCCCTCATAAAAATATGAATAACAAGCAGGTAATGTCAGGGACAAGGTGGAGAAGCATAATGACGCGCCATAATGGGGCCAGCAAATTATTGGGATTATATCAACAAAGCGACCAATCCATTTCCATCCAATTAAAGTCGGACAATCGCACTCAATTCGTACTTTCGCTGTGTCAATGCCGGGAGTGCGATTTCCATTTCATTTTATCCGGCCGGGTGTGTATTTACATAACAGCGATATCGATTCGGATTCGGATTCGCAGAAGAGTGCAATAATTAGCTTGTTGGGACCCTTGATTCACTGGCGAGCTGAAATCGAGCCGCGGCGATCCGATCCGATTTATTATGCAAGAAAACAAACACTTGAATAATTGAGAAGCCTCGTTGAAATGCGGAGTGCAGCAGCCGGCGAAAACTATTAAAAATAAATCAGCCGGCTCAGACGCAGAAATTGCCCGTTTTTATTGGGAATAAATTACCTAGACTGCGCTTAATTTATGGGTCTATGTCACGCAGATAATGAGCCAAATTATTTTCAATTTATTTGCGTGTTAATCGCACGAGAGGAAAATTAGTTTGGCTGTAATCACAGAGTGCACTAAATGTGTAAGGATTCGGTTTTTGTTAGTTTAATGCCATTTACAATTTCTAAATCGAAAGGTTGGAGTTTAATTAATTTTGCACTGGCATAAAGATAATAAATAACTAATCGGAGTGGGAAAATTGCTTTTCACAAAATATATGCTGAAATATATTTGGTTATTTATTGTGATATTTAATCCATTGATAATTAAAATACAACATATTGACATAAATAATTACTTATAGATATAATGTTAAATTAAAAAGTTATTAAATGAACCCAGACATCCTTACTAATCCTATCTCTGTGTCTCTTTTAATTTTCTTGCAGGAACCGGCATTTAAGGGCACACAAAACAACTTCGACAAGAACACGCGGCAAATGCATTACATTATAATTTCATTAAGGACAAAAGCCTTTCTCCGCCGGCAGTGAAACAACGTTGCCGGGAGATAAAAGGGGAGAAGTAGGAGCCAAGAGCGCGGAGAAAGGCGTAAGGAGAAAGTCGGAAAGCCGCAAAAGGCGACAATAGCCCCCGAGCCCATTGCCTACTTCTGGGCGCTGTCAAGCGAAAATCAAGGACCTGGCGTTTTTATGAAATTAATACAAAGGACGTCGCTGAAGCAGTAGAACTGGAAGTGGAAGTGGAAGCGGAAGTGGCAGCCATGACAAAAGCCGCGGCGACAGGACAATGATGGGCGGCCCTTCGATAGCGATTACAGTGGGAGTAGCGCTGCTTTTATGGCCCGACAATCCTGCTCCTCGAGCAGACGTGACAGCCTCCGATCGGCTAATAATATTTACCCGCGGAGAGAGCCCCGCTGCATAATTTGACATGCCAACGTGAGCCAGCTGGCGCAAAATATTTACCAATCAGCCAGGAGTCCCCGAGAACAAAACTTAGAAAAATCTCTGAAGAAAGGAGCAGGCCACTTGAGACAATGAGGGCTCTGCCAATCCTGGTGTCACTGCTCACTCTTCTGGCCCCAAGCCTCGCCTGTCCGCCCGAGGTGTGTGTGTGCAAGTGGAAGGGCGGCAAGCAGACGGTGGAGTGCGGGGGCCAGCAGCTCTCCAACCTGCCCGAGGGCATGGATCCGGGCACCCAGGTGCTCAACTTCAGCGGCAACGCCCTGCAGGTCCTGCAGTCGGAGCGGTTCCTGCGGATGGACCTGCTCAACCTGCAGAAGATCTACCTGTCGCGCAACCAGCTGATCCGCATCCACGAGAAGGCCTTTCGCGGCCTGACCAACCTGGTCGAACTGGATCTCAGCGAGAATGCGCTGCAGAACGTGCCCAGCGAGACGTTCCAGGACTACAGCTCCCTGATGCGCCTCTCGCTGAGTGGGAACCCCATCCGTGAGCTGAAGACCTCGGCCTTCCGCCACCTGTCCTTCCTCACCACCCTGGAGCTGTCCAACTGCCAGGTGGAGCGCATCGAGAACGAGGCCTTCGTGGGCATGGACAACCTGGAGTGGCTGCGCCTCGACGGCAACCGAATCGGGTTCATCCAGGGGCCGCACATCCTGCCCAAGTCGCTGCACGGCATCAGCCTGCACAGCAACCGGTGGAACTGCGACTGCCGCCTGCTGGACATCCACTCCTGGCTGGTCAACTACAACACCCCGCTGGCGGAGGAGCCCAAGTGCATGGAGCCGGCGAGGCTGAAGGGCCAGGTGATCAAGGGCCTGCAGCGGGAGCAGCTAGCTTGCCTGCCGGAGGTGAGTCCCCAGTCGAGTTACACGGAGGTCAGCGAGGGCAGGAACATGTCCATCACCTGCCTGGTAAGGGCCATCCCGGAGCCGAAGGTCCTCTGGCTGTTCAATGGTCAGGTGATGAGCAACGACAGCCTGGTGGACAACCTGCACATGTACTACTACATCGACGAGACCATCGGCGTGAGCGGCGCCGAGGAGAAGCGCAGCGAGATCTTCATCTACAACGTGGGGGCGGAGGACAACGGCACCTTCTCCTGCGTGGGCCAGAACATAGCGGGCACTACCTTCAGCAACTACACCCTGCGGGTGATCATCAAGGAGCCGCCGGTGGTGAACGAGGTCTCATTCCCCAGGGACTACATGAACTACATTGTGGCCAGTAGTGCCGGCGGCGGCATCATCTTCGTGGTGCTGCTCTGCACCATTGTGGTCAAGTGCAAGAAGAGCTCGGAGCCGGCCAAGCAGCGCAAGAAGTGCGACCAGGTGACGAGCATCGCCGGCGGCACGGACTCCTCGACGGGCAGCACCCAGGACACGGGCATGGGCATGATGAAGTGCGCCTCGATCCTGAACGACGGCGGGGACAGTATGAACGGGAATGCGGGACTCCTGATGGGCGACACCATGACTCCCACCAAGGCGGCAAATGGAGCAGCGGGCGGGGGCATTATCCTGGGCAATCAGATGAAGCAGAACCTCCTGCTCTACGCCAGCCCCAATCCCGGCCAGCAGCAGCAGCAGCTGCAGCTGAATGTCAACCTGATGGGCGCTGGACCGGGCTCACCCCCGCTGCTCTTGAGCAATGGCCATGGCCTGGCCGCAGCCTACTGCTCGCCGCCCGCCTCGTTGAGGAACTACCAGGAGAAGAATCCTGACCTGGTCAACGATGCGGAGAGCGTGAAGCACAAGCTGAAGACGGCGGTGAGTCTGGACGGGGCCGGGGAGTACGAGACGCAGAGCGACTGCGGCCAGTACGAGGGCTGCTATCAGTTGGCGGCGGCACCACATCCTCATCAGCACCCGGGACACCAGCACCCTCACCCGGGACACCCGCTGATGGGCCGCTTTGCCCAGGCGATGACCACCCTGCCGCGCGGCATGCAACTGAAGCCGGCTCCCCATCAGGTCGATGTCCACCTGAACCCGGTGTGCTTCCTGGGCCAGGATGGATCCTTCGCCTACGACTACAGCAGTGCCCACTTGGTGCAGCAGCCACCGCAGCAGCAGCAGCAACAGGTGCAGCCGGCGGCCAACTTCTACCGCACCTTGCCACACAACCGGTTGCACAAACAGCAGCAATTCCAGGCGGCGGCTGCGGCTGGCGGCAATGTGGGTGGAGGCAATCCCACCCTGCGCTACAGCCTGGAGGCCGAGTTTATCCAGAGGGGACCGACGGTGAGCTACGAGAAGTACCAGCTGCCCAATGTGCGCTTCACGGCGGAGGGCTATCCGCAACAGCAGCAGCAGCAACAGCAGCAACAGCAGCAGCAGCAGCAGCAGCAGCAACAGTTGCAGCTGCAACATCAGTTTCCCTCGCCGCCAGAGGGCTACAAGAGCGATCTCGCGGTGATGCCGGCGCCCTTTCAGCAGTGGCCCAGTTGTCTGCCCGGCTACCGCTTCGCCCAGTCACCCACCAGCCAGCCGGCGGTGGCCACGCCCCCTGCCGCAGTGGTGGCCGCCCCAGGACCTCCATCCTCGTCTGCCGGAACCACACAATCCACCATCCCGGAGCTGGACGAGAGCGAGGCGTGTTCGCCGCGCCTCGAGGAAGCCGCCGCCGCCGGGTCTGCAGCGCCACCTGGCGGTGGCGAGGAGGAGAACTCGGACTCCGCGAAACTCAAACAGCTTAATGGACCGCTGGCCGACAGTCCCGACGAGGGCTACGTGGGCGATGGCCAGGAGACCAGCGACATTTGACCCGGCCAGCAGCCGGCAGCCCAGCAGGATGAAGCGGCCTTAGACGATTCAGTGGCCCTGTAAGCGGCCAGGCTGATCAGCAAAACCAAACCACTCATAGCCTAAGTTCCGTCCCCGACTTTGCTTTACTTACTTTTCCCTCTTTCTGTTTGTTGGTTTGCCCGCAAAAAACAGGCAAACAAAAGGCAGACCCGAGTTTAACCTAATAATTGGCGGAAGGAGGGTGCTGGAAATGCCAGTCCGAAAAGGAGAAGGCCCAGAAAACCAAACAAAAGGAGCGCAGTTAGAAGAAATCTCGGGCAAGCCGAAGTTTAAATACCCAAGCTAAAGGGATCTGTTGCGAATTTGATTTCCGAGAATTTTGATAAAGTTGTAAGCTATATAAAATTTGGAAATTTGTTTAGATCAAATGATGAGGGTATAATCGGAAGGCAATTTAAGAATATCAACCAACAAATTCCAAAAGGTCAAGTTGAAAAAGAAATAGAAGGGAATTTCTGTGGGATGCCACACGAATCAGTATGGTTTTTAAATCATTTTAACATGTATTTTTAGGTGTCTAAAAGTATACAACAATATATTTCGATAAATACATTCAGAAAGAGGTCTATCCTTTATTCACTGCATACTTTTAGACACCTTAAATGGCACTTGAAAGCGATCCCAGTTCATTTTCTTAACTCCAGCCTATGATAAAAACATATTCAAAATGCTGCACAATTTAGTAGCCTTTTTTCCCCGACATCCCACACTTTTCCAGGACCCTTTGCGGTTAGGGTATTTGGCGAAACAATAGGCGGACCTAACCTAATAAAGCCGAAAAACAAAGACGCCGCTAAACAAAAGCCTCTTGTCGTTGTTTGTTTCTGTTTGCTGCGTGCTTCGAGTGGCAAGCTGGCAGCATTTTATTTCCGCTGATGTAATTGAAAAACTTTTTCATTTAATATAAAGTTTTCAGCAGCTTCCCCGCAGCACAATGGCGAAAAGAAGGCAAGAAAGCGAGCAGAGGCAAAGAAATCCCGGGCCTACTAGACTAGACATATGGGGTTCCTATGAGTGTGTGCCCTGCCGATTGGGTCTTGGGTTTTGGGTTCTCGGAGGCGTTGTTAGTTGACAATCGACGGGGTAGTCCCAGGCCCACCCCTTCCGAGGACCACTTCACGGGGTTCCGAGTCGGTGGCTCACTTCAGAGCCAAGTGGCATGTGTTTTCGCCATGGCGACACCTGCTCTCCGTGACACAAAGGACTCCAAGTCGAGGACCGGCTGTTGAACTGTTGAACCTCTCACGGCGAAGGGCTAAGTCGAGAATTCCGGCCGAAAATCGCGAGTGGCATTAAGGGCTTCTGCTTCGTAGTGTGCTCTAGTTTATGAAATTTTAATTCGGGCCACATCCGCTCCAGTGTTGCACTTAAATAATTTATAGCATTTATTTCCACAGAACTTCGGTCGCAAGCAGTCCTTTCCCTTTCACCCACCTCATCCCATGCCATCCCATCTTGACTTTGATTCTCCCGCCTTAAGTTTGTTGTATCGAATCGAACAGGCATGAACACAAGTGTTTCCGGGTAAAATTAAAGTAGATATCGTAAATTAGAACGGCTAACATTGTAAGAACTAACTAAACATAGGATAGCCCCAACCGTTTGAGACTTGTATGTAAATGTAGCTATAGAGATCGTTTAAGCAGAGCCCAAGCTTTCACCTTTTAAAGTAAATGTTCTGTAAAGTGTTCAAGAATCTCCCACTGTAAAATAAATTGGAAAAGAATCGAGAAGAGCGGAGATTGCAAAACGCTTGCAAAGTGTTTTGAGGAGATGGCAAAAACATACGGTTAGCAATAGCTAAAATGCATATGAGGAAGCGAGGGCAGAAGCAATCATTTAAGCACAATATAGAATATTGTAAATTGCATAAATAAATCATTAGAGGTAAGAACGAAGCAAACACTAACACCTGCAGACACACTCACACACTCGTACTCAGAATGATTTGTGTATCTAGCGAACGATTAAGTTTTATTTTCACCAAGTGAGTTAGTTGGCAAATGCACCTAAGGAATATAGCAGCGGACACTAAATTAAAAATGCGAAAAATACCACAAAAACATTTTAGCCTAGCAAACTGTTTAAATCTCAGCCCAAACACAGACACACTCGAAGGTATATTAAACAAAGAATTGCCTGCAGGCGGAATAATTTTAAATATTATATGGCATACACTACAATATAAAGAGAATGTTTAGCATTAAGTTAATGGTTAGGCAAGGCAGAACATATACGCATAAAGCAAATAAAAGGCCCATAAACGGTCGCAGAACATTTAAAGGATAACAGAGAGAGATTAAAATTCAGAACGACAATGGGGAGACACAATCTAGTTATAAATTAATTTTCTAAGTTAAATTAAAACTTAAATGCATACTGATAATAACAGCAGCAAAGTGTAAAAAGGATAAGAGAGAAATTAAACCGAATAAAACGCATTAAACTGAAGAATTTAATAAAAACTAAATGATGTCGTCTTTTATTCAAGCCAAATGGCCGCTGCAGCGCCAACAAAGGGGATGCAAACAGTTCCAGCGATTGAATATTAAATAGATGTAAATGGAGCCTTCTTCCTTTTTTGCAGCTGGATAATGCCAGACTAACAATGAATGGCGTGGGAAATGCAAATGCGCCGCTAAGTAGGCTACGCAAAAAACCTTCCGGAGTTTCAGTGAATGCTAAGCCAGATGTGTTGGAATATTGAAAGAAAATTAAATGCGAGATGAACGCTGTGGGGATAGAAAAGTGGAGATAAATACCTTTTTGTTGATTAAAATATCGTACCCTGAACTTGGGCCTTCTGAAAAATTACCATTCAATTTGCAGCCGAACTGAGTAAGGAAGAAGTAGTTGCTAGAAATCGAAAAAAATCTTTTTTCTGGATTTAAATCATCAAAAAAAATTTGCATGATTAATTTCTTTAAAATATTTAAAGTAAATAAGAGTAACTTCATTCTATTATTTTCTACTTTCACACAGAGAGAATTCTGACGTTCTTTGATGTTCTTTTTGAAGTTGAAATTTTTTATTTGTGCTTGAATGAAGTTGAATTGACGGTATTTACATTGTTTATCTCAACAACTAACTTCTGAGTCCAGTCAGTAGTGTTTAAATATCAAAAAGTTGTTACATAAACTTAATTTAACTTTTCTTTTCTCTTTTCTTGAGAGCATTGATACCAAAAGGTAATTACACGGTTTTTAAGAGCAAATGTTCTCAATTCAAGAACAATGTACTCGTACATTTATCCCTGTGCGTTTTAATATTTTTAAGTTAAACTTCTTTTTTATTTAATGTTGCGTTTTTGTGTTTAATTCAAATTTGTAGTACGAAACTTTGAATTCATTATGCAGATATTTGTTTTCCTTTTTTCATCACTTTATCAGTGAAGCTTATAAAGATTATTTTCACATATATATAAGGATCAAAATATGGGATGACTGAACCCAACGGCTTTCACACAAAATAACTACAAATTAAAACCAATTAGTATGGGAAAATGACATTGAAGTGCTCACAGCACTTAAAGTCTAACATACTTGATTATTAATAACTTAATAAATTCAGTAGGCAAGGTGAAATGTAATTATCGTAAGTCAAAGGCAGCCCAAAACCCGAGCAAAGTCCCACCGAAACACAAACGCTTTCGGCATAAGTAATGACAGCTCTACTGCCGCAGGCTTACTCGAGCAAGAAAGCCCGTTGCAGCACAAGGTTATTTGCAGGCCTCAAGATGCGCACATCACGCATACGCAGTGTCTGCCCAAAATGAGCACATCAAGGCGCGGCAAGGTCGCAGCCCGGCTCAAAGCGGAGCTAGCACAAGGCCCGGACTCAAAACCCGGACCCGGGCCCGGACCCGGGCCCTGGCACATTATACGCTCCAGTGCGCAATAATGTCATTAAAAGAGGCTGCGAGCGCCGAAAGGGAAGCACAACTGGGTCAGTTAATGCAGCCAGCCAGTTGTTACCTCGACCTGACATTTATGAGCAGCCGTAGAAAGCTGTAGATAGCCGCCCGGGGCGAAAGACACTTGCCAGCGCCGAGCAATTAAGAGCAGGGTTTAAACCAGCTCCGCACCAGCGCCGTCTCCACATGAGTGTCGAAATTTATTGGAAATGCCTTAAGCCCGCACGCCCGAAAGGCGTCTAAAGCCCGCAAAAATACGGCCAGGAAAGTGGGCGGAGATAAGCATGGGCGGCGGGGGCCCCCTCTCGAGCAGCCACATCGTTGACAGCCCCGGAGAGAAAAACCAAAGCCAAGCAGGAATTGCGGCGACGGCAACGGCAACGGCCACGGCATCAAAATCAAAGACGAGCACACTCGGCTCCGACCAAAAACCAAAGTCAGAGGCGCGCATAATTAATGTAGGCATAAAAACAAGTGACTTGTAAATATTGCCAAGGCAATGCACAGCACCCAAACACACCATATCTCCCGGATGCCGAGTATCTTCGGGCTGCGAATATGGTGGGGCGTGTGCCTTCCATGCGGCTACTTACAAAGTGGCAAGTACGAGCAAGGACTGCGAGGCTGAGGTTGCCAGGCACCACACAGTGGGGCCAGGTTTTCAGCTAAATTAGCCTACTGTTCCAGGAGTTTTCAACGAGTACCAGGTATACAAGAATCGGAAGGATAAACTTCTTTCAAACCGAAAAATGTTCAAAATTTGACTGATTAATTTAATTTAACAAATTAAACAAGTATTTTGTATTAATATGTATAAATTGAGGCTACACAGATTTAACAGAATATCTTGATTTACGTGTGTATTATATTAATCTGGGCAAAATAAATAAATGAACTTGGAGATGATAATATAGATAAACATTGTTTAAAGAACTCTTTTAGCTTTTTTAAAGTTATCATTTTAAAAAAGAATTTTAGTGCTATTAAGTTAGTGAAAGAAAGAACATAATGCAAAGTTTAGTCAAAGGTAAAATGAAAATATTATTTATAGAAGACCATATCTGCCTTTAGTAGTTTTATTAAATAACCATTTTCTAAAAGGGAGTTTAAGTGTTAAAAACATAATTAGAATAAACAAAATGACAAAAAGTAACATTTAATATTCAATGTTAAGTCTACCCCTTAAAAAATATTTAACCTACCCTACAATTTTCACGGGAACTCTTTTAAAAAAATGTATTTTACATGCACACAATGGAATTGTATATTTTAACTACCGTTTTAGTTACAAAACGGAATAAACTGACAGTAAAGCATGTTTAGAGGGTAGTTACGTGGAGTCTAGAATTTCCCCAAAACTTTCAGGACACAGTGCATCATCTAAGTTTCAGTTTGGTGGGATGGCGCCCGAGTGGGCAAGACGCAGAGCCACTTAAAAGCGCACACAAAGCCAGCTCCGCAGCGTGTGTGTGTGGTAGTGGTGTGGGTGGTGGTGTGGGTGGGGGTGTCCTGGTAGTTTATGTGTGCGAGAGATGGCCGATCCCTGCCCCCCGTCCCGTCCTCGTCCTTCCAACTGCCTGCGTTTATATGGTCTAGTGATTGTGACATTGTAGCTACAATTACAAGCGGAAGTGACGCACATCAACGAACAAATATGGAGGCGTCTATCTTTGCTTTATGTACGGCTAATGCGCCACTAAAGCTGCGCACAAATTGGGCTTATCGTATGGTTATTCCAATTCTATTTTATGCCCCAACTCGACCCAGATGCCTCGGAGGCCCCAGTCCCCCTAAGATTGTGTGAAAAATGTTGAGTCAAAGTTTGTGGCATGGTGGCGAAATATCCTGTGAGCCGGCGTTTGCTATCTACACAACTGGCCGGCTAGTTTGTCTTATAAAGTTATTAACCAAAATTAATGTTTGTTACAAAATTTGCTATGTGGTTCGGAAGTGCTTGTGCATAAAACAAACGGTTCGGGCAGTCGATATGAGTGGGTTTGCTGCCACAAGAAAGGCAATCAGAGTCATGCATAAGTAAAGCATCTCGAAGTGGCAGGTGATTCATGGCCAACTTTGTTGGTCATTAGGTTGAAAGAGATTAGGCGTTGAGCTGGCCTAATACGCCAATTAAATATTGATGGCTGCAATACATAAATTTAAGACTTTAAATTAAAACTTGCAGTGCTCAAAACTTTGATCATAAGTTCCCAGTAGTTTCAGGCACGTTCCCGGCCTTTTGCGAAACTTAACCAATTTCAAATCCCCGGCATCAAATGTGCCTGTGCGAACTAGCTTCGTTTATATGGTTCGTTTCGGGTTGTGCCGTAAAATGAAAAACGGATCCCGGTCTTTTGTCACAGGTTCCCTTCCCCGTAGAGCTGGAATTAAATATTCACATTCACGCATGCATGCACATTAATTTGCATAACTAATACGAAAAATGTGCAAAAACTTTGGGTGTCCCAGGAAGAAGTGGACTCTCGGAATATGTCAAACTGCAAAACTCGTCTGACAAACAATGGACAGGACCGAAACGTGCCGGCCACGAATCGAGCAGCTGCCCGGTGGATGTCTCGAAATTAATTCAAACTCATAAAATATTGACTATAAACAGACTTGGCCTGCCAGCTGGGCCGAAGATGATGTGGGATGCGGGCCATTCATCTTGGAAAACCCCACACGTTCCAGATGTATTTCCAGGACGGCTCCTTTTGGTATTTGTCTAGTTGTCAATTTTTAATGTGGCTGCTTGACAAATCAATTTTGCGAGACTGCAACAAATGAAACGAACAAAGGACTTCTTGGAAAACTTTCTATTTGCCGGATCCGGCACACAAAGAGCAATGTCAACGTCTTTAGGATAATTTGATTCGGATCTGGATCTCTTGGCCCTCTCACTATTTTGCCAAATTGATGGAATTTTAAATTTGTTTTGCCAGGCAACGTCCATTGACTGGCAATTAGAATAATTTGGCCAGCTGTTGCTACAACTCAGCTCCTTGGCCATTCTGCTGGTGACTACACCAGAATATTTGCCAAAATATTTAATGGTCACACTTTGGACTACGAAAGTAAATCGGTTGGGTTTCAGGTTTGGATGGTCTAATAGAAACGACGATTATATACCTTTAATAGAAGCACACTGCAAAAAATAGTCATAGAAAATCAGATATTGTTAGATTAGATCTACACTATTGAGTATCGATCCAAAGTTTTAAATTGAGACTTTAAAATCACAAGTACTGAATATTGCTTTAAAAATAACACCACAAATCCCAACTAAGACTCTTTAACATAGAAATGAAACTGTAAAGTATAGACTTAATATTATTTAGTCATGAGTATATACTTTAATTTCAAACATGCATTTACTTTACCTTTAAATTAAAAGTTTTAATACAACCGGTATTAAATCTTAACTTTCTTTTTTTTGTTTGGTGCAAGATTAAAACTATAAAATGGAATTTTTTAAATTATACCAATGTTTTCCATAATTGCTTGCCCCAAATTTGAATATTGGTTAAAAGGAGGCTATACAGTTAACCT